GTGAGTTAGTTAGAGATTTAGCTTTAGTGTCACATATATAATGTACAGCTTACAATTGTTTAATAAAGCACACATAATTAGCCTGACAGAGAGTCATATTAAAAAAAAAAAATTTTTTAAATTCAAAAAGATATTCTATCAAATTAATCTTAAATGATAAAGAATATAAAAACTATTCTATTTTTAAAAGATACAAATTATGTTTTTAAGGACCTGTGGGTCAATAGCATAGTGGTAGTGCTTCTAGGTCACAATCACAAGGTCTATAGTTCAATACCACTTAAGGACCAAAAATAAAAATTACCCTTCTAATCAGATTTACTGGTTATCCTGTGAAAGTCATATCCAATCATCCGAAACAAGCTTTAATCAGATTAGGCTGCATGAAGATGTGACTTCTGGCCTTCTGTCAATCAGGGGCTGAGATCTATGGTCGTATTACTGGAAGGATTGCATAAAGAAAGGCTTCTGATCTAACTCACCATAAACGTCACACAAAACCCCCTGCCCTGGCAGTTTCCAGGATCCCACCCTTCTAGCTTAGAATATTCCAATATGATACTCCGCTTAAATGAAAATCAGTCAAATGGGATTGATCTGATACCACAGGTAGTAACAAAGAAGGTAAAGTGTCTCCTTTCGAGGTCTGAGTGAATAATATCTAGGAGCATTGGAGGGTAAATTAAATCCCATCAGGTATATACTATACAGACTAGTTTAGTGAATATAATTAAAAAATTTATAAAAACTCAATACTAAAATTAACCTGTTTTGCCATCGATGACTGTGTATTAACCATCCGACCCCTAGCTGAATCTGCCCCACTCACAGAGTGGTTAGTGGGTCCACCTAGAGAAAACCGTGATAGGTTATCATTAATCTGTATGTATATAGAAAATATATAATTTGTATGAGATGATTGATGTGATGCCCAGGATTTCATTATCTAAGATGTTAAGTTAATTCTTAATAAAAGCACTCGCATCTAATACCAGTTGTGGTTTAAAAAAAAAAAAAAAAAAAAAAAAACAAATTATGTTTTTAAACTTTTTCTTATTTTTTTAATTTTTTGACTAAATCAATCGTCATGTAAAAATGTTATTTATGGTTTGGTTCTATTTATCATCCAATAAAGATGTGCCATGACGCATTTTGCGGGTAAAAAAAACAATAAATAAAATAAGAAATAAATTTTATTATATATGGTGATATGCGTATTATGCGTATGCAAATTTCAGCTCACTTTATTTTACATGTCGATTAATACAGAAAGTATCGCTGCTATCGATCAAGGGGAAAGTACAAAACCCCATTTACCTCGCATCTCGATTGAATATTGTGTTCAATGTCGATGGTAAGCAATCTTGAATTTACTTTTATTTATTGATAAAATATAACGTTTTTTTATATAGGGTACTTCGTGCGGGATGGACGGCCCAGGAACTATTGGTCACATTTGGTAACATTATTGGTGAAGTGGCTTTAATTCCGGGGTCAAATGCCGTCTTTATTGTGCAAGTCAATGGAGGTAAGCTTTATTTTATTATTATTTTAAATTTAATTGTAACACTTATTCTCTTTCAACATCAACGCTTAGAAATTATCTGGGATCGTAAGAAGGAAGGAAGGTTCCCGGAGTTAAAAGAATTGGTAAGTATTTTAAACTTATATTATTTTTATTCCCATATCAATAATACTTTTGTATGAATGTAATAATAGAAACAGCTAATTAGGAATAGAATAGCCCCAGACATGGATCTTGGGCATAGCGATGGAAAGAAGAAAGACTCCTCTCAAGTTGCCACCAATAATTTAACTAATGTTACGAATGCATCTGATGTCAAAAGTAGTGATGCCTGTGATAATGAAGGGTGTAAATAAAGTACTAATGATTCATCGGGTGAAGTATTTTAGGTTCATGATGCAACCAATACTTATTTCTTTATTTTCCTTACTTATTCATCTTTACAATTCTACTAAATCCACTTTACTTAATATTAACCGTTTACTTGATACTTTCGTAATGTGATTTCAACGGTCTACTTGTTGCATGGTTCACAAAATAACGCGATTTGGTATGTTTGTATGTTATAGTTCGCAACTCTTGAGGCAAACATGATTAATATACAGTTACTTGAGAAGTTTCACGTAATAATCAAATTTAAATCCTTTTTATTCATAACTAACTAATTAAACATATACAGTATATATAATTTATATTCAAGACAAATTTACAATTTTATTATATAAAATTATTATCATTATTATTTTATTTTGATGATTTTTTTAATATTAATATTAATATTATTTTTTTGCCGCAATAATTTATTAAGCCAAATTAGCATATTGTTTTTTCTTAATACTAATTAAATCTTAAATAATATCAAATTATTATAAGTCAAAAATTTTTAATATTTTTTTTTAGTTTTATATTATAGCCAATCAACTGTTATAGTTAATTGTTCTCTATTTTACTAAATAAATTAATATGTTCTAAATATTTCTAATAAAATAAAATTTTTCAATAAAAATTAATAATAAATATAATGTAATTAATTGGTTTAAATCTATTATATTAATAAAAAAAATAAAAAACTTTATAAAAAGATATTTATATAAAAGTTTTTTGATTTTTAATTAATAAAATTTTAATATTATTTTTAATATAACTTAAAATTAATTTCAAGAATTATTATTATTATTTTTTTTTTTGCTTATAATTATATATATATATATATATTATTTTACAAATCTTCAAAAGTTTTTAATATAATTTAATTTACAATAAAACTTTGAATAAAATATTATTTTATAATTTATAAAAACAATTCTTTTTCAAGTTATTCTTATTTTATTTTAAAATTTATTTGATTTGCTATTGTTATTCTAAAACAATAATTAATTCTTTTTTTATTCTATTTTATTATATTATATTTCTTTTTGAATTAAAATTGATTTTCTTTTTTTGATTTATTATATAATTTAGAAATTCAATAATTTACTAATTCTCTAATTATATACAAAAAAATATTTACAAGAAGTTTTTATACTTTTATATTAATAAAATCTTAATACCTTTCTTAAAACAATTTAAAGTATAATTTCAAGAGTTATTTTCACTTTTCCTTTTTTGTTTACAAATTTCTTTACTCAAAAATTTGACTTTTAATAATTAAAAAAATTAAATAATATCTTTAATATTTATAATAAGAAAGTTCTCAAAAAAAGAAGAACTAATTATGAAAATTTTGAAAATTTTTTTCTAAATCCTAACCTTAATCCTAAATCTTAATCTCCCCAAAAATTTTTTTAATATAATAAAAATTTTTTTTATATATAAAATTATTTCAAATATAAAAATATAAAAATTTTTTAATTTTTGAAATGAAAAATTACAAAGATTTTGTATAATAAAAGACTTATTTTTTTTTTTTATTGTTTGGATTCTTTAAGAATTTTATTTTCTAGTTTTCTAAAAAATTTTATTACTTTAATTTGATTCAAAATTTTGAATAATACAAATTTCTATCAAAAATAATTAATAAACATAAAAAATATTAATTTTTAAAATATAAATAAGCTCTATTGATTATATTTATATATTTCAATATATTATTAATAATTAAAAAAAATATTTCAGAAATGTTTATTTTCAAAAGTTTAAATTTTTAATAAAAATATTTATAATATTAAAAGATCAAATAATAAATAATATAAATTATAAAATTTTATTCCTTATTTGAGTTTTTGAGATAGAAACAAAACTTTAATAAACAAAAGTTGAAATTTAAATATTTTTTTTAAGATATTTTAATTTAATATTTGTTTAAATAAAAAACTAGTTAAATTAACTTATTTAATAATACAAATAGCAACAAAAAAAATTTTTTTAAAGTTTAATAAAACAAAAAAACTATTTTAATCAAATAAATTTCTTTTAAAAAGATATTGTTTTTATTTAAACTTTTTTGATAAGTCTTAAATTGTTTTTTTCTTTTAATTATTTTTTTTTTAATTTAACAATTTACTGATTTTTGAATTAATTAATAGTAACAAACTGTTAACAATAATTTTAATTTTTTTTTTTTAAATACTAGCTCATCTTTATATTGAAATGAGTAAGATTTATTTAAATAAGTAAGAGACCTAAAAATAATTGGGATAAATAACTACCTGTACTATTTAAAGATTTACAGATTAATGAATATTATAAAGAGCTACCTATTTATATCTCATTCAACCAGGATGAGATAGTTACATGACCATTTAATATAAATATCTACTTACAAAAACAAACTATGAAACAACAGGAAGTATAAAGCTCACACTATATTAATTTTCTATTCTACACATTGATACTCCCTAGAACATGACTATTGACTAACCCACCAAGTAGCTTATTGCTATTTCAAAAAGAGAGGACTAATGTGTCAAGGATTCATCTGGATATCCAGTACTACTGATGTTGAGAACTACTCATGTTTAATAATAGAAACCTAAAATATTTAACATATAAAATTTTGCAGATCATTTATGTTCCTTTTTAAGGGACAAAATTTATTGCTCTTTACTTTAATAGGGACAAAAGTCAGAAAATACTATAAATTAAGAATTTGAATAATGAAGAACAATTATAAGTAATTTTTTATAGTTATTAATTTAAAAATTTTAAAGTTTTCTAGTGAGAGATATTTGACTTTTGTTCCTATCTCTTCCCTTAGAAATACATTTTTACTCATATGAAGTCTTAACTCCACTAGTACTTAATCAAAAAATTTTTAAAAAAAGAAAAAGAAATTGTGTTCAAGTCAGGTCTTGTCTGAAAGGATGTAATATTGTTTAGCTGGTTATTAAAGGTAATTTCAATAAGTAGATGGAAATATCAAAACCCTTCCAAAAGATACTAATCTTGAATATAATAGTTATGTTCACTGGAAAAGAAATAAGAGGGTCAGGGTTATTGTCTATCCAAGATAACCTAATTCAGCCTTATTATTTCTATATAGCCAATAATGTCATAATTTTTATGTCTTATATCCACCTATGTAATTAGCATATAACTTATTATAAATATCAGGTTCTTATAGGTATTAAAGAAATGTATTCAGACACATAATATGATCAATGGGAGCTTGTTTATATTCTTTTACTAATGTGTTTTTTGCTGACCAATTACTACATAAGAAATTTTGTATTACTCAAAATTCAGAATCAAATTGAGGTAGGCAAAATTACTTAGAAAAACTGAGAAAGAGTACTTTAAGAGCTAACATATAATAAGAGAGTAGGTGATTGCCTTCAAGATAAGTTTTCTATTATCAGAAAAGCTCTGTATTGTCTTTTTAATAGGGAAGTAAATAGCAGCACTACAGTTCTTCTTTCTTTTAAAACTTTCTTGTCATTAGTAAGAAAGGTGTTTTATGGTTTTGGTTACTAAAAATCATATTTTTATTTGAAAATATTGTTTACAAGAGGAAGGAAAAAGTAAGTATAACTCTTAAAGTATTATTTCAGGTTGGTTTAAGGAAAGTAATAAGACTTTGTTAATTAAGAAGTATAAAAACTTCTTGTGAACATCTTTTTTGAGTATAGTTAAAGGATTGATGAAAAGAATTAATCATATGTTAACAATAATTTTAATAAATAATAATTAATTCAATTATATTATAGAAATGTAATATTGTTTTTAATTCTAACTTAAAGTATATTATATAATAATAAGTTAATTATTTTATAAAAATCTATAAATTATTATAAAAATTTTTCCAATTTTTCAATAAAAATAAATTATTATAATTTAATTATAGATTAGTAAAAAAAAAAATTCAGAAATATAATAATTATTAAGAAAATATATGTTTTAATAAATATTATTTTTATATAGAAAAATTAACTTAAAAATTATATAATAATACTATTTTATTAATTAAATAATAATAAAATTTCAAAAATTATAACAATTATTTATTTTAAATAAAGTTAATTAAAATATTAAAATCTAAAAATATATTTAAAAATTTAATAAAAATAAAACTAGTATAAAAAGAAAACTTCACTGTTATAATTTTAACTTTGACAAATAAATTGTAAATTATATTTAATAGTTGAAGATAAAAAAAGATCTTTAATATTAAAAAAGATATATTTATTGGGATTATAATAAATAATAAAAGACCTGTGGGTCAATAGCACAGTGGTAGTGCTCTCAGGTCACAATCACAAGGTCCAAAGTTCAATACCACATGGGGGCCAAGTGAAATACTGCATCACAATAAAGTCAGTACTCCATTGGATGACAGTAAAATGTCATTGGGCATAGACCTGGTTATCTTACTGATAGCCGAAATGGAAGAATCCGCCATTACATGGTGTCACTTGTAGCTGATCTTACCAGATCAGGCTGGTCTACAGGTGTTGTGAGACGATCAGTATCTTATCAGTACCCTGATAAGGTGGAGGAGGACGGGGTTGATCTCGTGGTCAACCAGAATGAAGACTAGATTGGTGCCAGGTACCTTGACGATCTTACCGACTGCAAGAAGTTGCTGAGTTAAGAAGGTTGAAGTTCTGAAGAGAGTAAAAATTGTACTGGTGGGATGCTTAAAAGCATGGTCAACCTTGCCTGTGACGAACCATCGGAAGACCTTGGTAGGAAAAGGAATCTGTGGACCACGCTGAAGTCCCAAATCCGGGGACAGGTTAGAGTATACGCAACGGTCTGATAACTATAAAATTGTTCTAGAAAAAATTAAGAGAGCGTCGTGTGGTTTTTCTTAATGAGCTAGTTAGTATATATAGTATGTAATACATTTACCATGTATAAAATTATCATATGTACAACATTATTTCTAAGTAAATAAAAACCATAGTACGAACACAAC